TCGTGTATTCTACGCCTCGTCACCACCCACCACATTTCATACAAATCCCCATCCGCTCATCTCGTTTCACCTCGCCAACCATCTTGAACCACAGTTGACTGTGCAACACCTTGCGCTATATCAATGTGTAAGATGATGAGACTACAGCTCCACTGGACTCACGGAGACCCAAGGCTTAAAGGGGAACCTCACGGCCACGTTACATCATCGACGATTCATTATAACCGGTGGCCCCTACACGTGACCTGACGAGACCATTCACGGCATTCATCCAAGTCGGAAAACTATCCCAGTGCATCAATGGATCTTGCTGGACTTGTTGACAGAAATAGACCAGCAGCCAGCCTACGATGTCCCGTTGCTACATGCACGTTGATTCAACCCCTTTTCCCCTAGATACTCTCCGGGCTCAATCCCTTCCTTAGCGTCTGAGATCTGACAATATCCGGCTCATCCCGGGATGCTTTGCTCCGTAGGTCTTGTGTTCTCTAATAGCTCCGTGGGAATTACCTCCCCCGAATTGCGCAGGTAACAACCCGTTGTGTCTGCGCCACGGTCGTGGAATTTCCCTTCCCGTTGGAAATTCGTTCATCCGATAAATTTTGGATTCTTTAAAGTCTCGTCTTAAAACAACAACATCTCACTAAGTCAGTTTATTCTATTCAGCTTCTCTCTCTTTCTCGCCGTTTCCATCACCTTATTCTTACAAGGCGCCTTGCGACATTCGTTTGAAGGCGCCGTACAAAGAAATGCTTTATATTATTTGACATGTTATTATTAAAATTTTCTACCTACGTGACTTTACCGAAGAGTAAAGAAATGTAAATTCTTATTTGATTTACTGTTTGTCGATCGCCTTCGTGTCCTCGTGCTCGCCCCCTAGTGGTCACATGTCTCACTACACGACACACGCTCGGCAGGGTATCATTGTGGTTGACAGATGTGATAATATACTTGAAAGGTTTTTGGGTTAGATCGCGTAAATATATGAGATGTGTCGTTAAACCCGTAGTCATTTATACCCCCCCTCCCCCACTTCGCGCAAGAAGAGCGCACAATTGTTGTCATCACATCTACGCCTCTATTTAAGGAACGCAACAGATGGACTTCTCCACAAATCTGTCTGTCGCCTGATGAAGCTAGTTGTACTTACTGGCGAAACGTCGTACTCGGATTGCAAATGCTGTAACTTGGCTCTCCAACACACCGGGTGTGCTGGCCTAGTCACGAATTGGCCACGTTCTGTCTACGTGACAAACCTTTACTGATTGGCTGTGTCGGGTGGTGGCGGGTATAACGACACATTTATATATTTTACGCGATCTAACTAAGAAAAGCCCTATATTGTAGATGTAATATAGCAGCAGCAACAGCAAAAAGGCATGGATAGATGCGCACGTTGTATTACATTCACGTCCTCAAAGAGGAGCCCACGGATTATAGAACGTCCCGCGGGTTAAAGACATCCATTGTTGTCAACGTAAAGCCACGCCGGTTATTAAAAGCAAGGGGATGTGAAGATGGGGGAACGGGGGCTCGTTGCCCCAAAGCATACGGGGTCCCAGGTCCCACCGAAAGGGAAAACGGGGAACTTATTTTGTTTAAGTAAGGGATGGCAGGGGTGGGGGAGAAGGGATATAAATTGAAACACACCTGACAAAGAAAAATAAAAACGCTCCTCGGAATCCGGCTCCCGTTCAATCTGCAGTGGTTATGCCACTCATCTTCGGTCCATAAATACATATATATTTTTTTTACTTTTAAGAAAAAACATGGCCTTGGAGTAGGACATGCCACTAAAAGCGATTGTGGCCGATGGTCAGTCAGTTTTCATGTTGAACTTATTTAGCACCAACCGCGCTAATCGGAGGTGCGAATATCGGTGGAATGGAAGCCAATGGAGGAGACGCATCAGGGAGGACATTCGCCCTGGAGATAGAAACAATAAAAGTCACCACGTGTTCGGTGTCAGGTGTGTTGTTGTTGTCGTCACAACGGCGAGCGATGGCAACAACAGCTCGGAGAGAGAGAGGCCTCCATTCAGCAGTGGATCGATCATGGCTGACGATGACAGATATATATTTACCATATTCATTGGGTAGGTCAGTAGGTATCGGTTTAAAAATACTCTTGCCAGCTGTCAGCTGCTCTCAAATCCTCTTGTACTCTGCCTTCAGCCCGGTGCTTACAATGGCACACCGTGGCGGTCTGCACTCCGCAGCACGATGTATTATAACTTTGCCGTCTGTTATCGACACTATTCTGCATTCTGTTGTTTTAAATTACGTGTTGTTGTTCTTCAATTTTGTCCACATTAGCTGATTTAAAATGTATTTGTTAATTTCGTTGCTTCCTTTTACGTTTTTTTTTGCAACGGGCTTCATCGCTTTTAATTATTGTATGTTGTCATTATCGATTACCTTGTTCCTCGATATATCTTCCCCTTATGGGGCCGTCCATAAATGACGTCACGCGATTTTGGACGATTTTTGACCCCCCCCCCCTTCGTCACACGGTGTCACAAAAAGTCAGACCCCCCCTCAAATATTACGTCACAAACAACTGCCCCCCCCCCAAAAAGCCTCAAATCGCTTTAAACTATTGTTATTGTAGTGCGTATTTAATGTGGCGCTGCACTCTTATGTTGTAGGAGAAGACATTTATTAAAACGTCTATTTAATTAAGTAGAACGTGTTGTCTATATTTATTTAAAGTTGCGCATTTTGATGTGACGTCACATTTCTCACACCTCCCCCACCCCCTCGTCACACATCGTCACAAATGTCTGACCCCCCACCCCCCCAGGTGCGTGACGTAATTTATGGACGTTCCCTTACATTAGGCAGTGATAGAATGGAAAGCATTTTTTGCAATGAGGCTTTGGCCATGGCTTTGCCAGTACAACCCGCGCTGACGAAATGCACCGACGGCAATTGCATTGCGCGACTCGATCAACCAAAACGAGCAAGAGCTCTCCTTGCGAGTCCACGAGACAATGGAACTCTCAGCCTTCTGCGCACTCATTTATTTGGAGACTCTGCGTTGGCAGCGGCGCGCAAGCTCAAATAACAAACATTCACATTCTTCAACAACCCTGTGAACTTAAAAGTCAAAACAAATATATACAATCTTCTGCTTCGCGTCTCTCGTTCAACCTATACAGTCTCTTCCAAATATTCTGCCACAGGCGACCGCTTCCGGTGTTGGCATTGCCAGATCTTGAGGAGTGCACTGTGGTGCTCCTGGGCATCTCAGGTGATCCGTGGTTTGTTTCGCATGACAAGCACATTGTTCGGTTGCGCAGAAGCCCCATGGTTTCATGAGAGAGTTGCATCAATATATAGAATCGGCGACCTTTTGGGGCAAAGGTCCTTCTTCATCGCACAATTTATTATTAAGAAAAAAAAATTCATAGCACATTTTTTTAAACGTATTTTACATACTACCGGTATATAATTGATTAATGTGCCAAGTTCCTTAGACGACGCACAGCACTGTGGCCGAGCGTAGTGGCCAAAGCCTGCGATCCAAAAACATTAGAGGGAAGGGTTAGTGTTGTCCATGTAGATTTGTGAAACTGTCAAGCCCGCTGGACAGTGAGGTGCCCAGGCTATGGCAGTACATCAAGTGGATCATGAACCCATCTGTGCGAACCTGCGAGTGTTTTCGCGTCGTATGTGTGGATCTTCTCCAGGAACTCTGGGGTTCCTTCTATGTGTAAAATACTCCTTTAAAGAGCTGTTGGACAAATATCCAGTTTGCAAGACCCTCCTGGGAGAAAAAAAAAACTGAGCAATACTTTATTGGATAAATTATATTATGGTTTCACTCGTAATTATCGTAAGTATGTTGTCGTTGTTGTGGTTGTTGTTGTTTTTGAAAGGAACTAACTGAACAGCTCATCAGGGTATTGTAATTTGTTTTGGTATTCACTTTAAATTGAAACCTTTCATGGGAATGTGGAATTAACATCACTGCATGTGTGCAAACAAAGAGCTTGAGCCGCACAGTCTGATTGAATCCTGTGTGTCGCCCTGATGACAAAATAACAGACGTTGTACAATAATGCGCCGGACACTTTAATGATGCATTCTTGACACAGAAAACACAAAATGAATCGTACTTGTAAAAGAACGTGATAGACAATAACAGCGGATACTTTCTACTGCCTTGTTATAACCTTGCACAAAAAATGCAACGGTTTCATGTAAATGATCGGTAAACAAACGTACACAATAAAATAAAAAAACACAATTATATTATATACAGTGAATCATCGCTGCGGTGTTGTACTCTGAGAGGTTTCATCATTTCGCACGCAACATTTGAAACTTTCATTATGCGCAGCCGAGCCGCGAGGAGTGGAACGGATGATGAATCGACTGATTTGATTCTTAAGCTCACGAAGCGGCCATTGAATCACGCGAACAAAATATATATTCTAAAAATTCGATTCGTATCTATGTATTGCACTGTGAATCCAACAACCAGAGTTTGATTCCCGGCCACGGCTACCATCAGATACATCAACGCAATAATGAATCTCCCACCTTCACCAACTCAGCGTGGTAAAGTATGGCCAAACTACCGCCGTGACCAACATGCCATTGGAAGGCCTCCATCCAGCGGCGGCTGCCACGGTAGCGGGATGTTAACTACCTCACCAGGTATGCAGGAGGTCGTCGATTTCGATCCCAACCCCGACGCCTGTATGTTTGGAGTTTGCATTGTTCCCTCCTTGGTCGCGTGGATTTTTATCCGGGTCCTCCGGTTGTTCCCATTTCCAATAAACACGCGTTTAGATTATTTGGCTGCTATACATATCCACGTGATAAGCCACTTCGTTGAGCTATCATTTGTGGCCAGGTCACTTCTGAAAAAGAGCTACGTAGCTCAGTGGGCCTTACCTTGTAAAATAAAAAAAATAGTTTAAATAATAATAAAATGTATTGACATAGGGCTGTAAATTATACATTTTTTTTTACATGTAATGTATTCACGTCTTCCAACATTCACCACAGTGTAATACAAAAAACAATAGTATTTTGAGTTTAAAGCAAATTCATAAAATCGCCAGGGTTGGGGGTGGGATTGGGTGGCAGTGAATCCTTTCCCCTCCAACAGCCACTCACAAAGTTGTGTAAACAAAAAACACACACACAAACATGAAAATGCTACAATTTGTAAGTTTTACTATTTACAAAAAAACAAAAGGTAAAAGAGATGATAGAATATTTACAATATAGTTTTTTTTTAATATATATCTTTTATGACCACAATTCCAGTAGTGAGGTTTAAGGAAGAAAAAAAAGTCCATCTGGAGCTCCGATCGTCAGAAGAAAAAAAAACCTCATGCCAGGCAACAGCCGTGGGAGCGGTCTACTTTTAAATAGTGACATTTCACCGACGCGCTTCCGTCAGTTTGATTTTCCAGGAGGAACAAGTGTATATGTTATTAGCTGCCTTTTTTATTTCCACATTCAGAACCGCCTGTCTCTGAGTCATAGCAGGTGACTATGATACAGACACCCGTCGAGATATCAAACATAACCAGTGCGAGTACACCGGTTACTCTTTGGACTGTTTTTTTCTCTTCTTCTTCCCATATTGGCCATTGACACAGGGTAATCACAGCGGCAACTGGGGATCTACCCCTACTGCCAGTTATCCAAATAGCCAGCCAGTCATCCATATAGGACGTCAGCCTGTCAACTATCCATCACGCAGCCAGACAATCGTCTCGACGAGACGGACAGTCAGCAAGTCTGTTGTTGGGACAGTTGGTGCATTGCCTCAGCTTTGCTGGTAGAGGCTCATGCAGGAGTGGTAGTCGTCTGTGAAGGCTTGCATGGTGTGATGCCGCTCCACGTATGATGCTCTCTCCTTCTCGTCCGCTTCGGCGTTTAACTTGTTGAGAGCCTGGGTGCAAACGGTCACAAAGATTCCTCATTATAGCCATACGGACCGCTGGGGCAAGTGCCGCTCGAGAGATGGAGTGGCTCGTACCATGCCCAGCCGCCTTCGTGTTTGCAGTGATGATGTCTGCAAACTGCACTAGGTACTCACGTATGGCCGAGTTAATTTACGAGAGGCTTTGAACAAGTTCTGATACCACCCGCCGCCGACATTATCAGAAGGGTTCGTAGCGCAGTGCACAAAGCACCGTGACCGCTAACTATGAATGCATATCAAACAACTTGCACATTGACGCACTAACGAAGACACACACGTGCACACACGTTCACGTGAAAGCGCCAGCACACACGCACGCGCACAATGATTTCCTGCTTAACTGTATACATTGTCGGGATACATTTATGCCTGTGAGCTTATTTAAGCCAGTTTAAAAAAATTAGTTTATTTTGGGTTAGATCGTTGTGTAGGTATAATGTTGAAACGCTGAAAGTCGAGTTTACTCGACAATTTTCCGCGAGATTTCGCTGGAGGCCACAACCAGCGTCGTCAGGCGTTAACAAAGCTCACTTCTCGCGCGCTTTGATTACATTTTTCTCTGTCGGGTGGTAGAGTGTTAAGAATTGTCATTATATCTACAAAGAGTGTTATGGTTAATAATTGTCATTGTATCCACACGATCTAGCACGCCTCGGCACCATGCTCAAAACCAGCTCGTGTCAAGCACGGTTTTGAGCCGGCTCAGTCGTAGCCTGCGCCAAGGCCGAGCCGCAGCTAAGAACAGGGGCCTAGAAGACTCACGTCGCCCACAGCGGTCGCCGCGCGACCCCACGCACCTTGAGCACTTCGGCCGAGCGGCAGGAGGTGGACGAGGCGGACGACGACGACGACGACGAGGAGGAGGAGGAGGGCGACGCCGTGGAGGAGCCCCGCGCCGCCCTGCCCGCGCGCGACATCGTCCGCAGCGGCGCCGGGTTCTTCTGGGGTTGCGCGCCCGCCGGCTCGGAGCGGCCGCCCCCGCACCCCGGGCGGAGAGCCGACCAGACGGCGTGCGCCGCGAGCGTGAGCAGCGCCGAGGCCACGCCGCAGCCGGCGCCGACGGCGAGCAGCTCCACGGTGCCAAAGCCTGGCGCAGCGGCGGCACGGAGCGCACCGAGCACGCGACGTGAAACAGCGGCGCGTGCGAGCCTCTCCGGGTTGCCAACGCTGGGTGGGTTTACCCTCCTGCACACCGGTCAGCTGATGTAGGAACTGATCGGCACCGGTTGGTTTACGTGACAAAGTCTTGCTAATCGGCTGTGTTGGGCAGTGGCGGAATTTATCGCCACATTTTTGTATTTACGCGATCTACCCCAAAACGAAACTTTTTATAATAGAAATGTTGGAAAACATTACTCAACTTCGGCCCCACTCCTGCGTAAAATTGGTAGGACCCTCTGGGGAAAAAAAGAGCCTTAAGACTCGTTGGGTAAACAAGTTAAATGTTCATCCACAAATGTATGCTGATGTTACGTTTAGGCTAGTAGAGCGAACAAAGCTGTACAAACGAGACGGAGCAAACGACGAACTATACAGACGAGGTGGAACAACGACGAACAATACAGACGAGGTGGAACAACGACGAACAATACAAACGAGGTGGAACAACGACGAACAATACAGACGAGGTGGAACAACGACGAACAATACAGACGAGGTGGAACAACGATGAACAATACAAACGAGGTGGAACAATGACAAACAATACAAACGAGGTGGAACAACGACGAACAATACAGATGAGGTGGAACAACAACGAACAATGCAGACGAGGTGGAACAACGATGAACAATATAAACGAGGTGGAACAACGACAAACAATACAGACGAGGTGGAACAACGACGAACAATACAAACGAGGTGGAACAACGACGAACAATACAAACGAGACGGAGCAAACGACGAACAATACAAACGAGGTGGAACAACAACGAACAATACAAACGAGACGGAGCAAATGACGAACAATACAGACGAGGTGGAACAACGACGAACAATACAAACGAGGTGGAGCAAACGACGAATACAAACCAGGTGGAACAACGACGAATACAAACGAGGTGGAACAACGACGAATACAAACGAGGTGGAACAACGACAAACAAAACAAACGAGACGGAGCAAACGACAAACAATACAAATGAGTCACGGCAAAAATAAGAAAAGGAATTCTCTTCTTGAATCGAATTGTGGCATTGAAATGCACTAACGCATTGAATCGTCACACACAAACAAACACTGCATTCTGCATCAATGCCGATGCAGTCCCCAGCTATTTAATTACACTGCAGCGCAGAGTTTCCCTGCAGGGCTAATGAAAAAAAATACAAATGCATCTGAGAGGTTATCCTTGAAAACGTTGAGATCCTACGTATGTTTATGTTAAGATAACCCCCTGCTAGCTTCATAGGAACAATCTACAATAGATGGCTGCACAATGAACGCAACGACGAGCTTTTCTCATGCATCTTAATCCATCTTGGTCTCAACGACGGACCTCGTTTGTGGACAGTGAGCTTTTGTGGGGTTGCCAACGTTTTTTTTCCAGCGATTCCGCTCATTTGCGGGACTGTTCTCTTACCTCCGCCACACTGGGCATCATTCACCGCTGCGTCAAATTCTGTGGCTGAAAAACAACAGCAACAAGAATAATACGAATGAATAACACGCCAGAGAGGGCTGATGGGGACAGATGTTAATGCCATGGTCCAATTTTGAAAAAGAGTTATCGTATATCGCATAACTGGAGTGGGTGGGTGTGTTGTTGTTGTTGTGACATGCAGTGCGACGATGGATGAACTCGGTGTGGGTGAGATGCAACAGTCAGTGCGGGGGATCGATTCTTCAGCATCGGTGGAGAGGTGAATGAGTGAAGTTCATGGGAATAGTAACTACGGTAGTAGCAATAGAAGAGTAACTGCGGTAGTAGCAAGAGAAGAGTAACTGTGGTAGTAGCCATAGAAGAGTAATTACGGTAGTAGCAATCGAAGAGTAATTGCAGTAGTAGCAATAGAAGAGTAATTACGGTAGTAGCGATAGAAGAGTAATTACAGTAGTAGCAATCGAAGAGTAATTACGGTAGTAGCGATAGAAGAGTAATTACAGTAGTAGCGATAGAAGAGTAATTACGGTAGTAGCAATAGAAGAGTAATTACGGTAGTAGCAAGAGAAGAGCAACTGCGGTAGTAGCAATCGAAGAGTGACAAGGAAGTGACTGAACCGCTAGTGAGCGAGTGATTGGAATTAATCTGCGAGTTGCTGGAACATCAATCAACGTCACTGGGAACTGAGTGCTCCACCTCGGATATGACAACTGGATCCCGACTCCGGCGGGATACGTGCTCCGTATCGTACTACAGGTGATAATTACCGTTCGGAGCTGACGGACAACCAACGACTTTGGCACTGCAAAGAAACCCCATTACCAGCTCGAATAAAAAAAAAAATGAGTGTCTGCGCCCAACGACGATGGCCCACCTGAAGGTGGGACAGCGGTGCCCCCACAGGCCCTCGTCTCGGTCGCGTTCCCCGCGCAGCGAGTTCCCGAGAGGCGCTCGCCCGAGCAGCTCCTCGCGCGAGCCTGGCGGCGACGCACCATGTCGCACGCTCCCCACGGGCCCCACTGAGACCAGCTCGCCTCTGGGAGCCCGCGAGCACGTCAAGTTCACCGGAGGAGGAGGAGGAGGAGAGGATAGGAGGGGGAGGGGGACGGAACGGGGCCTTGAAAGGAAGTAACGTGGACTGGGCCCTAGGTGCTGTTAGCAATGCTGACGGAAATTGGGAAGGGGGTTCCAGACAGCTGAGCGGCGCTCCTGGCTAGGAAGAGCGTGACGCGGCTGGGTAAAACTAAGCTAAACTATTTTTACGTTACCAGGTACTGTAAGGCCCACTGAGCGATGTAGCTCTTTTTTTAGAAGCGACCTGGCCACAAATGATAGCTCAAACGAAGTGACATATCACGTGGTTTGATGGTTTGGGCTTTGCCACAGTGGCAGTTCGGCGATTCTTGATTTTCCAATTATGGAACGTGTACGACGCGCACCTCCCGTTCTGCGTCCAAGTGCGGTTCAGCGCGGTCCACAGCCATCATGAGACAGAGAGAGAGAATCCCGGTCACTAACCACGGTCGGTCGGGTCCTCGATGATGATGATGATGATGTTTTTGTTCGTGGCTCCACACCGTGGCCGGAATGCTTTAAAAAGGATATTGGGACCCCCCCCCCCCACCCTGCTTGGTTTGGGCAGCGAGTCCAACTTCCCCCCCTCAGACGTACGGTCCCGTCGCACCGAATTCGAATTTTTTCCGGAGTTTTAGTTCCCCTCCAATGTCGAGCGGCGCATTGTGCTCGCGTTTTTGTGGCAACAAACAGAGGACATTTGGCCGTGCAAGCCCCGAGAGGCCGCACTCACCTGAACCCACCTGGACAAGTGTGGTTGTTGCATCCCTCGCGCTGAACCCTCTCGCCGACGCAGTGGTCCCCCTCGCATGTCCGCGAGCGCTCGCGCCAGCCCGCTCCGCACGACGGCGAGCACGGAGACCACGGACCCCAGGAGCACCAGAAGCTGCGCCCTGGCAACCCGAGGCAGCGAAAAACAGCGGAGACTTTTACACTCAAGAGCCTGGACGGACTCATCGATCAGGGTACATTGGGGGGTGCAGCCCTGAAATTGCTTGCTCACACCGCTGCTCGCGGATTGGCTTCCACGAGAGAAAACCCACCCGAGGGCATTTGGCCTACTCTTCCATGCTGGCCAGGCATCTTGGAAGAGGTGGGAGCGCCCACACTTTACCCCACCACACGCGGCCCTGCTGATCGACTAAACTGTGGTGCACCCATTTATACCGCTCAAGTCGAGCAGTGGCTAAATATTGCGATCGACGACTTATTTCGATCACTCGGGGCCCCTTTAAAAATTCCAACGGCCCCGGCATCTTGCCTCCTTGAAGGCGGGCAACCCCCTACAAGCCACGCCCAGCACCACACAGCTGCTGATGCCGATGACATTACCCAGCCCCGCCCACGATCTTGCTCCTCCCTGTTTTTTCTGGTGCAACATTCAGGTACCGAAAGCCAATGTATGCACGTATGTTGAACTTCTTTCACGCTAATCGGAGTTGCTCTCATTGTCTGATATACTTTCCCCTTCAACCCGGCCGGAATCTTCCCGTCACACATCGCTCCGTCACTCCACTTAATACCCATCCGGCGATCCCATCAGCAAATATACCCATGAGCATGATCATCTTTGCAAGCGATATTGAGCAATGACAATAACCTTCTCAATAAATGCATTGTGTCTACACACATCTCAAGGTTATTTGCGTGTGTGAGTAGAGTGCGGGGAATGGCGGTTGTGAGCACGCTGTGCTGCGAACCTGGCGACCCGAGTTCGCATCCCGCTCACGACCAACACCAGTGACGATTATCTAAAACCAGTCTTGGGCCTCCCCTAGGTCGACTCAGCATCAAATGGCGCACCTGGCGCCATTTGTAAACATTGCCAACCAGGGGGACAAAGGCGGCTGGGCGTGGTGCCGGCCAGCCACCCCCTCCTGTGCCTTGTTTCCCTTCATAGGTGCTGCATGTGAAGGCTATGCGTGGGGGAATCTTCGTCCGCGAGCGCGGTACACCCCTCACCCTGGCACGGCTTCTCCTCGCACTCCTCGTACTCCTCCGGTGACCCCGCGCACGCTGCCTGACCCTTGACCCACGAGTCGGGCTGCGGGCAGGCGCGGCGGCGCACGCGGAAGCCCCGGCCGCACGACACGGAGCAGGACGACCATGGGGCCCATGGGGCCCACGGGGCCGTGGCGGGGCCCTGGAGAGGGGACCTCGAGTCCGCCGCGCCTGCACGGGGGACAACGATTCGGTTTTTGCGTGGGATGTGCGCGTGTGTGTGTGTTGAACTTCTTTCGCGCCGTACATAGCCAACCGTGCTCATTCGGAGGTGTGGGAAGGGGGTAAGACAATAAACTAAACACTAAAAGCAGTTCTAAAGAAATTAGTTTTCAATTTAGTATAGTAGTGTAGTGTATACTAACGTAGTGTATAGCGTAGTGTATAGCAGTGTATAGTGGAGTGTAGTATGTAGTGTATGGTGTAGTACATATGTATGTTGAACTTCTTTCGCACCGTATGTAGCCAACCGTGCTTATAGGAGGTGCAGTGTTCAGTCTATGGGTAGTATTAGTCTATGAGCAGTATGTATGTTGAACTTATTTCGCATCGTATGGAGCCTACTGTGCTAATAGGAGATTTCACGTTCAGCCTCAAGAGACTCGCAGAAATAAAATGGCGATGGATCTGGGCATGCTGGTGGGGCTGACCAATTCAACGGGGTCCAGAAGTCGAAATCATTTTAGCGGGGCCCTATTTCGATTTAAAGACTCTCTGTGCGACAACGGATGAGAGGTTTCTAAAAGAGACGGAGATTCAGAGAGATGAAAGAGCAGATAGAGCTGCAATGAGATAGGAGGAGACAGATACAGATGAGAGAGATGTAGAGAGAGATGGAGTAAAATAAGAGAGATGTAGACAAGATAGAAATATTACTGGTAGGAACCTCCTGGTTACACCAGGCTACAGGGGATTATTGTGTCCGTCCGTCGTGCATCCAAAAATGGGAGGAGTGGGGCTGGGTGGAGAGAGGAGGGTGGGGAGGGGCTGGGTGGGGAGGGGCTGGGTGGGGAGGAAGGGGAGGAGTGGCTGGGTGGGGAGGGGAGGGTGGGGAGGGGCTGGGTGGGGAGGGTGGGGAGGGGCTGGGTAGGGAGGGTGGGGAGGGGCTGGGTGGGGAGGGTGGGGCTAGGTGGGGGGTGGGAGGGGTGGGGCTGGGCGGGGAGGGGTTGGTCACCCCGTGGTGCCCTTATAAAACTCAACGTTTAATCTATTCACGCCGGCTTGTGCCCGCCCTCACAGTCGGGCACATTTGCGGAATACACCACGTGGTGCCACCGTTGACCCTGGCCATTGACCGAGCAACCCAACGTTCCTACCAGCTCCCTCCGCAGGAATGTGATAGATGACAGAAGAGAGATATACGTAGCTCTTTTTCAGAAGCTACCTGGCCACAAATTATAACCCAAGGAAGTGGCTCATCACGTGGACATGTATACCAGTAAAATACTCCAAACGCGTGTTTCTAGATGTGGAGTGAAAAACCGGAGGACTCCGGAGAAAAATCCACACGACCACGGGGAGAACGTGCAAACTCCAAATATACATGCATCAGGTAGTTAACATCTCACCACCGTGGTGGCCCTGGATGGCCACCTGGTGGTAGACCAAACTGAGGGAGCCTGTAGGCTTTAATCTCCAGCACAAAAGCAACAATGGTCGTCCACATTGATCCAAAACCGCCCATCTCACGGCAGATCGCCCGGCGCTGCGACCACATCAAGAGAGCGTGAATGAAAATAACGTCCCGGCGTGCGACTGTGGAACCACCGACCGCGCCGCGGAACAGACGGTGAACCACTTGAAGCAATCCGCAGCACCATCGACTGGAGCAATTTCCTGGCTAACTAATCTGGACAGAGACTCATGAGGCGGAAATTCATCCGGCCAGCCAGCCAGCCAGCCAGAGCGAGCGAGATAGAGAGAGCACCATTGGTATTCAAAACGTCGGCGCGAGCGATATTGAAAGTGACAGAGTATTTGTTCGTACACCAATTTGAGAACTAATCTCCATTGACGGTGCTCAGCCAATGATGGAAATTCAACACTCCAATGGCAATGAATGACGGCTCCCTCCTTAGGACAATCACCGTTGTTGATGTCCCAACAAAATTGTGCCGCTAACAAGCCCCTATGCAGGCCACCATGGCAAAACGCAATGCAGCAGAGTTCAGATAAAGCAGGGAGTGCCCTTTGAATTGTAGACATAAATAACCCTGGGAGACAATATAGTGTACTAGCTGTTTTTGCCCGTCCAAGGACAGGTGTATATTTGAGTAAATCTGAAATACAGTCAAACCTCGGTATACACGACCGCTTTGGAATACGTCGAATTTGGTATAGGTCGTGTTTTAACGAGAAAAAAATGTCTTGAGAAACGACGTCTTGCCTGGGATACGACGCGCTTGCTAGAACTTGTCTGGGTCGGGATTGAGTCCCCGCTTACCTGCGCATACCCCGTTCACGACTGAGACAAAGCGCCGCTCCTCAGTCTGCCTGTAAAGTCGATATCGTTCAGTGCACGCCCCTTTACTATAACTCTCCGTGAATTTTCACGTGTTTCAACTCCTCTCAGCAAGGTAAAGTGATGTTAAATGTTATATTTATTTCAATTTATTTTAATTTATTTATGCATTTATTTTAATGTATGTATGCATTTTAGTAATACGTTGTGTCTAAATTATGTTATACAACCCCATTAATGTATAATATGCCATATAAAATATCATTTCTTATACTCTGGAACAGATTATTTCTTTTCCCTTTATTTGTTATGGGAAAAATTCGTTTGGTATTCGTCATTTTCGGTATAAGTCCTCCTACCTTCTGGAACGAATTAACGACGTATACCAAGGTATCACTGTATTAAATAGAAGAATTGTTCAGCTCATGATTATTAATGAGGGAGGGGTGCGGCATGTTGAGTGACGTCACCCGCTAATGGTCATTGGGGAGGGGTGCGGCATGTGGAGTGACGTCACCCGCTAATGGTCATTGGGGAGGGGTGCGGCATGTGGAGTGACGTCGCCCGCTCATGATTATTAATGAGGATAGTTTCAGTTTTCAGTTTATTTATTTTGGTATAGCCCTGTGAGCCATTCGGCTCTTGAATCGGGTGCAACCACAACAAACAAAAAACACGAACAATAAAAACATCTTAAAGTGACTATGTGACTGTGCAAAACAGAAAATCCATGAAAAAAACAGCAAAATATTCCTGAAAAAAAAGCACCGTACACCAACGCTGTGTGCAAACAATCCCAGTGGGATGCAAGTCAAACAACAACAACAACAACAACCACAAGATAACTTTGATTAAGGCCATCAGTCTAACTCCATACTACAACAAAATAAACATGTCCAAACCAAAAAACTTTTCGAAATCACCAAAAAAATAAAGCCATAATTGCAACGCAACAGTGATCACAGGGACTGTGACCGAATTTTTACAATAAACTACATAAATAACATGTAACACTAAATCCTAGAGCCATAGCTGGCTGCATGAGTTACTCCATAACAACAGAAGCATCAGTCGGAGTATCAAATTTTTCAATGCACCTTTAAGATCAGCAAGCTAAAACAAAATACAAATAATACTTTGCAGCGTCATCCGGAGTCAAACATCTTATTTTATTTTACGCCAATGAATAGCAGTGGCAGCTAGGGGTGTACAACTCCTCCAGAGCAGTTTTGAGAGAAGAGCTCATTGGTAGCGATTCAAGTTGCAGTTTATTGGCAATAGCATTCCAGACCCTAGGGGCATCAATAGCAAAGGTCCTTCCTTTGGTTTTTGTACGGCAATAGGGAATGTGAAGCTGGTAAATGAGCGAAGACCTGAGGTAAAATTTGTTCTTTGAAACAGAGAGGAGATCCAGCAGGTAGGCTGCGGATTTTTTTGTAAGTACATCATGAATAAATAAGATCTGGTGCACAAGCCGTCGAACATTAAGAGATGTTAAGCTTGACACAATGTAGAGATCACAGTGGTGAGTCCTATATGGGCAGTTCAATGTAAATCTTGTAGTGACTACATTACCAGCACGGAGGATGCAGCAATCTGGTCAGATGGGGACCCAATATTTGATTCGTCTCGCACGGTTGCACCTAGGCTATTTATATTTCGCGGCTTCCCTTGCCTAATCACATCATGGCGCTCACGGTCTCGAACATTTAATGCTGTAGGGCCACTCCGTCTTCACAAAAAAGCAGCCACTATAGCTGTGCTTGTTTACTTGGTTACACTGTGATGACAACAACATAGAAACAAACATGCGATGTGCAATTTGCGGGAAGCCGAACGTTACCGCTTTAATAAAATTAAAATAAAACGTGGAACGTAAATGAAAGTGTTTTCGTTCGAATTAATTTAAACCGCGTTTTAAATCAGTGTTTGTTCTTCTACACGGTTGTTGAAAACACATCTCATGGTTAAATCTTGACTTAAAGCTTTCGTGACTGCACGAATGATTTTCTTTGAACCTATCTACGTGACTTTACCGAAAGACCCAAAGAGCACATCTCCTGGTGGTTGTCAAGGGGGTCCCTTCTTGTAGCTTTGGCGACCAAGCGGGGTGGGGGGACGGCAAGGCACCCCCTGCATCCACGCTCGTTACGCTGTCATGGGTGCATCCCGCGTCCACGTCTCGGGCTCGAAACCTCGAAACTGCGAGGGCCGTGTCTGGCAAAAAGCGAAATCGTGAAAAGTAACGCTCTTTAGAGACGTACCGAGTCCGAAGACCCCTTTTTCAGCAGGGTCCTGGCAGTGGCATGTATGGCCAACACCGGTTACGTCGCACGCCGCGCGCCGATGCCAGTTCCGCCACTCGCCCTCACCGTGATCGGTCGGGCAGGCGTCGGGCAGTCCGGCGGGGCAGTAGCGCGTTTCGGAGCGCGCGTGCCCCACGTGGACACCGTCGGCCGTCGGCACCCCCCGCGCGCGGCAGGTGAAGCGGAAGCGCCGTTCCCAGCGCGCTCCGACGGGGCCCGCGCCGCCGCCGCCGCCGCCGCCGCCGCCGCGGTCGCCGCGGTCGCCGCGGTCGCCGCGGTCGCCGCGGTCGCCGCTCGCGTTGTAGGTGGTCCACGGCGTCCAGGGCGTGTGGGCGCGCGCCTCCCCGCACGGCTCCTCGTTGCACGCGCGGTGCGACTGGCGGCGGCGGGGGGCGACGGGGTCGAAGCGACACAAAAAGGTCGAGAGTCACACGTTCGTGCAATCCGTGTGCGGTTAAAATGTTGAGTCATTCGGGGGGGGGGGGGGGGGGCCCTGGGTGAACGGTGAGAAGGAGAGTGCCTAGGTGGGTGGGGAGAAGTGGCAGGGAGTGCGCGGTTCGCCGCACGCGCAGTGAGTGTGCTGTACGAGCACACGGGATTTTTTCTGTCGGAGCGTACCACGTCGCAGCCGGGGCAGTGGCTCCCGTGCAGGCAGATCCGACGTCGCACCTGGAACCCCCCATCGCACGGTTTGGTGCAGTCTGACCAGATTCCCCAGTGTGACCAGGAGACAGCAGGTGGGCAAGGTATCCTCTCATTACAAAGTCTGGAGCACACACAGACACACAAATATACGTACACGCGCACGCATGCACGCACACAAATCTTCATTTTCATCATGTAGATGTTCAGTCCTTATGTCAATCCACTGCTAGATGATGGCCTCCCCATGCCATGTGGGCAGGGCCGGATTAAGGCACGGGGCTTTCGGGGCTGCAGCCCACGGGCCTCCACCAGCTGGAGGGCCTCCAGAGATTCAGTGAAAAGTTATTACATTTTTGAATGCTGAATTTTATTTGCTGTTAGTTTTTTTTTTTAACTTTGTTTTCCTTTTGAAAATATTACTGGGGGCCCTACAGTACCTGTAGCCCAGGGGCCTACAAAATCTTAATCCAGCCTTGCATGTGGGTCATAATTCACCACTCTGTTCAGAGCATGTTCATCAAGGCAGGTAGCACAGCCTTCAGAGAATATAATCTCAGTACAATCATGCACGTGCATTTTGCCGTACTGCACCCTGCTGCACACAACGTAGCACCACAGCCGCCTACAGTACCTATTTCATGTATCGTGGTCCACCAGTCCAAGTACCATCCCACGCAGCCTAGCTTTTGGGTTACAAACTAAAACTATTTTTTATTTTACCAGGTAAGGCCCACTGAGCTATATAGCTCTTTTTCAGAAGCGACCTGGTCACAAATGATAGCTCAACAAAGTGGCTTATCGCGTGGAAAATTAAATCAGCTGAAAACTCTAAATGCGCCTTTCTAAATGTGGAGGGGAAAACCGGAGGGCCCGGAGAAAAATACAAGTGACCACGGGGAGGACATGCAAAAATCCTCAAACATAGAGCAGGCGTCAGGGTCGAAATCGAAATCGCGACTACCTATATACCAGGCGAGATAGTTAACATCACGCCACCGTGACGAGATCGGGTGCATTCTGTAGATCAGGTGTGAGTTGGTAGTACGCATGACCTGTCGTAGCTTCCCAATACGAATCTCCGCAAACTGAACAAGTCTTCCACTTGTTAAAGATGCCCCCATCACACCGATCTCATCTGAGCTCGGCCTGTTCCAGCTATCCCCACGATTCCATAAAGAAGCATGTCATAGGTCACAAGGCCACAAGGCCACGGGACCACAGTCGCATGCCATCCTCTGCAACGTTATTCCACGTTGTCGTTTTAAATTTGGCGGAAACTCGCGAGACGCGATGCACACATTTCAGCGCGGAAATTGTGTCGTTAGCAGATAAGGCGCACCGGCGCATTATTTCGGTAGATAAGTGGGGAAGAAAACATAATAATCCGTGTGTATAACAATGTATTCCTGGCCACAAAGGGCTCCGGGATGTTGCTTGTGAGCGTTGATGAATTCAATGCATTTTAAATGAGATTCGTTTTGATCGGTGGATGCTTTGCGAAGGAGGGGGGGAGCGGGAAGCTGTCATTTCGCGAGCGGGTCAGGTCCCATTGTGAGCACGTGCCCGTGTGTGTGCCCGTGTGTGTGTAGTGTAGTGGGGAGCGGTAGTGTAGCGGTTAGCGCGCTGCGCTACGAACCTGGTGACCCGGGTTCAATTCCCGCTCACAGCCACAGCCAGTGACGATTATTTGAACCGGTCCTGGGCGTTGCCTCGGTAAACTTCGCCACTTAGGATACAAAGGCGGCGTTGGCCACCGACCCCCTCGTTTGCCGTGTCGGTCTTCTCAGCACTTGCCCCCAACAGTATGTTGAGGCTATACGGGTGATCTTTGTCTTTGTGTGTGCGGCAGAGTGGGAAGCGGTAGTGGAGTGGTAAAAGCAAGGTGCTACAAACTCGGTGACCCAAGTTACGTGCCCAGCTTTGCACAACTCATCAGCAATTGGTATCTTAACACGGTCTATGCCCTCTCGAGGCTGACAAAGGAAGATTATATGTGAGTGTGTCTCTGTACGTGTGTTTGAGGGGAGCGTAGCGGTTAGCGCGCTGCCCTAGGAGAACCAAACAACCTGAGTTCAATTCCCGCTCATGGCCGGCACCAGTGACGATTATCTGAACCGGTCCTGGGCCTCTCTTTCTGACCCACCCCGACTGGACATATATATTAAAAAAAGAGCTTCATAGCTCATCGGATGCCTCCTACAGTCTAAACAAAGATTCTGATTCAAGCGCGCGCTGTGTGTAAACATCGCTCGCCACTGGGGAGGCAAAAGCGGCCGGCGCGTGATGCCCCAACAGTCTGCTGCTCGAGGCTATACGGGGGGAGGGGCTTCTTTGTGACCTCTCCTCGTAGCTCTGTCCCTCGCAGGCCCTGCCACCGTGCCGGGGAGTGGGGTTGCTGCAGGCGCGCGTCCGCCTCTGAGCGCCGCCCCCGCAGGTGGCGCTGCACTCGGACCACGGTGCCCAGGGGCTCCAGCCTCCGCTCCTAGAGCAGGCGCACGCACGCACGCACCATCACACACACACACACATGCTTGCGTACCCGCGTGCACAAACATCCAGGATCAAAGACAAAGATCCCCCGTGTAGCCTGTAACAGGCCGTTGGGGCAAGTTCTGTGAGCGATCACCTGTGAAGGCCGGCACGGCACACGAGGGGGTGGGGTGGCCAGCAACCACGCCCGGCCGCCTTTGTCTCCCCAGTGACGATGTTTACACATCGCACCAGGTACTCATTTGAGGCTGAGTCGACCTAAGAGAGGCCCAGGACCGGTTCAAATAATCGTCACTGGGTGCTGGCCGTGAGCGGGAATCGTAACTCGGGTCGCCGGGTTTGTAGCGCAGCTCGCTAACCGCTACACCACCGCCAACCACACACACACACACACGCATGCACGCACAACAACAACATCTGTCATTCGCCACCAAGTAGCGGTGACATCACCATGGCTCTTGTGCCAGACTATGTGCACTTTAAGGCACACACACACACATGCGTGAACACACACACACACACACGTGGTATAGGGGGGGTCAGAGCACTGAGCCAGAGATGCTGAAACCAATATCACCATCGCCATCAGTGTCGTCGTGAGACGCGATCAATCCATTGCCGGACGAAGGCTTTCCCCCAAGCTGTCGCTTTGAGGGGACGTGTCTTTGGAACACCAATCGGAACAAAGTTGAGGAGCACGACGAACAAAAAAAGAGGAAATAAATATGAATAGAAACAAAACTCAAACGCGTTGCTTCGCTCACCTGGAGCAGTTGGCCACCTGCGTGCGGGCGCCCTCGCACGCGCGACCCCCGCAGCGCGGGGCCGGGCGGTCGCACGCCCGCGTCCGGCACGAGCAGTGGCCCCCGCCCAATCCGTCGGCATGCTCACACCCCCGCCACGGCGTCCACGCCCCGAGGCCACCGTCCACGGTTTGATTCCGCGTCTGCGTCGCGCTCCCAACGGCCACCCGGTAAATGGGTGGCGACGGCAACAAACACCGTAGGCCTTTTCCCTACTCTGTACGTGTGCGTGTTGAACTTCTATCGCACCGAACGTATCGGACCGCGGGTGGGTGAGTGAGCGGGTGAGTGGGTGAGTGAGCGGGTGAGTGTACGTGTGTTGTGTATAACTTCTTTCGCGCCGAACGTAGCCAACCGCGCTAATCAGAGGTGCGGGCATGCAATATTTGAAATGGTGATACAGAAAGAAATTTCATAATTGAATCTTGGGCCAGATTGTCGTGTGAGTAAAATGTGTGTCATACACCCTCCGCCACCTGAGACTGCCAATTAATAAAGCCGTTACGTGAACAAATGTATCAATTGGGGCACCTAGGGTGGCAAGATGTTAACTACCTTGCCTGGTATACAGGAGGTCGTGAGTTCGATCCCGACCCTGACACCTGCTGTATATTTGTAGTTTGTGTGTCTCTCTCCCCGTGGTCGTGTGGAATTTTCTCCGGGTCCTCCGGTTTTCCCCTCCACATTTAGAATCAACATCACGCGTTTAGAGTATTTGTCTGGTATGAATTTCCACACGACCATAAGCCACTTCGTTGAGCTATCATTCGTGATAGCCAGGTCGCTTCTGAAAAAGAGCTTGTATAGCTCAGTGGGCCTTACCTGCTAAAATAAAACGTTTAGGTTAGTTTTTAGTTGAACGCTCACGACCAATAACAGCGGCGGAAATTTGAACCTGTCCTGAACTTCCCCTAGGTTGACTCGGCCTTAAATGTGTGTAAACATGCCCACTCGGGAGAAAAAGACAGCTGGGCGTGGTGCTGACCACCCACCCCCCTCGTGCGCCATGCTGGCGAACAGCCGCTTGTCCCAGCAGTTCCATGTGGGCTATACGGGGGACCTGTGCAAGCAAGTGCGTGCGTGCATAAACGCGAGTGTGTGTGGACGCACGGGGCAGCGCGAGATGTCCTGCATCCACAGGCTCATGCTGATGCTGCGCTCGATGGTCGTGCAGCGCTGTTGCCGCACGTCCCAGCCGCAGTACGGGTCCCTCGCCGACAAACACGCCCTGGGGAGGGGGGGCATCGAGGGGGGGGGGGCATGGCAAGGGCAAATATTATTACCTTCATGAGCCACGAGGACACCTTCAATTAAAAAGCAAAACGTACAGCGCCGTTCGCGTGTGTCGAACGAGGATTTGGCCAAATCGCCTGGACTGTGCCCGGTCTCCAGGTCAGATCTCCACCACTGGATGAGGGCCTCTCCACCCCCCATGCAGACCACGGGGGATATTTTACCATACTTCACCATGCCGGTCAGTGCCTGTTGGCAAAGGCAGGGAGCATAGACGTAGTACAATAAAAAAAAGTAAAGGAGCAGCCCCACAATTGCATACTCATGCCACTGTTTGACGGAGGGTCCTCCACCCGCTTGGGAGCTCCTGAGATCTTCCCTCGAGTAGAATTTGGCCCTTTTCTTCCACGCTGGCACAGACGTCTTGGAAGCAGCGGCAGTACCCACACTTTACCCCACCACACGTGACCTGCTGGTCGACCAACTTTGACGCACCCACTTATGCTGCCGGGCGGGCAGAGGCGGTGCATTGAAGAGACGTGCACCATTGGTTCAACCGTCGTGGGTGGACGAACGAAATGCACCTCCAATCAGCACGGTTGGCTACGTTACGGTGCGAAAGAAGTTCAAAGTACAGTATATACATCGTCATCATCATCATCACGGCAATGCTCGTGGGGGGGGGGGGCTCCACTGATTCCCGACCGCCAACTCTCTCTCTCTCTCTCTACGTCTACAACCTCTGCCCTTCGGGGTCTCTCGAAGCGCTGACAAAAAAAAAAACCACCACACCGACAGAAGACCGGGGGTGGGGAGGGGTGGGCGGTGGCGCGACTAACCCCCGCGTGGCGTGCACGTGGCATCTCTCGAGCGGGATGCGGAGGACGCGCGAGCGCAGGCCCACGTACAGCGCCCTCTCCTCCTGCACGATGAGGAGGCTGCGCACGAGGAGCTCCGGCCCGCCGTGCGGCCCGTCCGCCTCGTGCCCCCGGGCCCCCTCGTCCCACGCGGCGTCCCAGCTCCCTCCGCCGCCGCCGCCGTCGCCGCCGTCGCCGTCGCCGCGAGCGTCCGACGGCGACAGACGCAGCTCCTCGAGCACGCAGCCGCGTAGGTCGCCGTGGCCGGACGCCAGGACCTTGCGGATCGTGCCGGTGTCTGCGGGTTGGAGGGGGGAAGGTTCTTTATTTTTACAGAGACGGGAGCAGCTCATCGCCTGATGAAGCTGGTTGTTGTCGCCGGCGAAATCTCACGGAACTGGTTTGCTCCCCAACACAGCGGTGTGCTGTACTAGTGATGAATTGTCACGTTTTGTTTAGGTGACAAACCTTACTAATTGGCTGCGTCGGGTGGTGGTGGGTTTAACGACACATTTATATATTTACGCGCTCTAACCCAAACAAAACCCCCTATTTATTATGGATAATATTGGTCGCGAAAGCCCACTTGTCAAACTGAGGTTGGGAGGTGGGAGTCAGAGAGACAGAATTGTCAATGCAGCGTGTCGACAATTCATTGGTGGAATACCCAATGCTTTCCATACAAACCAATTTTAGTCCATTCGGAGCTTGTAATTTAATTGCATTGGCACTCAGCAATTCATGTTATGTTAAACAACAAATAGTATTTCACTCGAGGGTTTTTAAGTAACTCGTAATACTCAGGCATAAAGAAAAAGCACGTGGAAATGAGCAGAGAATCACTCTCTCCAAAAGATGCTACTTCTGAAAGGTTGCTATGCAATGGGATTATAGTGAATTTCTGCTGTTTATTGATCAGTGCTGGGCAATTCCTGCAGGGATCCTATTTGAATCCCACAATTTCATCGTGTGAGATTCCTGCGAGAATTGTGACTCCACTTTCGGCAAATGCCCGTGTTAATTTCCCCCATCCGGTTGAATGGGATTCTAACAGGGTTGGCACGCCACCTCGTGGCGATCGTCGGAATTGACACAAGAACCTCCCACCCATTCATTTAAAATGGAAATCCTCGATCACTATTCGAATTAATGGGGAAGTTTAAGACAATGTGTAGGCTGTAAAAATAATAATTCGTTACATCGGTGATTCCTGCAGCTGCATTTCAATGAACGGGACTGTTTGTCAGCCAAAGGACCATCCAATGGAGTTCCCCTTCATTTGAATGGCGCTCCACGGAGGGTGTGCTACGTTGTTAACGCACACCATTGGAATGAGTGGTCGTGATTCCTAGACTGCTACACTATCTGTCTTTATCCCTTTATCTCCATATAAACGAAAATGAATCTTCGAATAAATTCCTGCATTTATTCACGGAGCCAACCGTTTGGCGCGGTTGACTACGTACGGTGCCGATAGAAGTTTAACATATAGATATGCATACAATGGAGATGCACGCCAGATGTTACGCAACAAATGCATATGATATTGCACAGCTCCATTATAAAAGGCATGCGGACGATTCCTGGGCCGTCGCAAAAAGTCCTAATTAATGTGAATTACGATTCCCGCATCCTCATTTAAATGAATTGGCACCTCCTCTGTTCATTTGATCGAAGATGCGCGACGGGGAAGGGGAGGGGGGCGCGGGTGCGTGCGTGCGTGCGTGCACACATGGCACGCCAGAAAAAACTCACCTGTGGCCAGGTACATGACGTGGTAGAGCGCCTCCTTGCCCTGCACGATGTCCACCGCGAGGTGGGAGAGGCGGCCGGGTCCGTGCGCGTACAGCGGCGTTCCCGTGGCCGATCGCACGACGCCCTGCATCAGCACCTGCTTGTGCCGGTCCTCCAGACTCACGCCGGTACCCCGCCGGCCACCAGCGGCACCGCCGCCGGCACTGCCGCCAGGGTTTCCCACGCCCCCTGATGTCCACGCCGCCCGGGCGCTCTTCTCCTCCGACTCCGACTCCCCCTCCTCCTCCTCCTCTCCGCTCGCTGTTCCGCACTGCACGCAAATATCCGGGCACACGAGGGATTAGAGGTCCACCGCTGGAAAGCGCTTTAGCCGTAATGTGCGAGCGTTTTGAACTTAACGAGGAGTCAATTCAATTTCTTAAACGGAATGCTGCCACGGTGGGATGGTTGGCAGAGTGGACTTACAGAGGCCGCCTCTGTCCACCCAGCAGTATAAATAGGTGCCACCGCAGTTAGTTCATTGGCAGGTCGCATGCGGTGGGGTAAAGTGTGGGCACTCCCGCCTCTTCCAAGACGTCTGACCAGTGTGGAAGAGTAGACCAACTAACCCACTGGAGGAGCCCTTTCCGCCAGCAGAGCAAGTCTTTGCAGGTCTGTGCCTCTAGCTGTACCGAATCAATTCGTTGACCCACAACTCAACGCATATATCATGCGGCAAACATCTCTGACGAGCGATATCTAAGCCGCTTTAGATATCGCTCGCCACCGATGTTAGCCATAGCTGAGAATGTAACTCAAGCCACCAGATTCACAGTGCAATGCCGCGAATTACCGCACCGCTGCTCCGCGTCTAGGATGCCCAGTCACCACAACACGAACATGGGCTGTTTTTAGCGTGTGCCGATGTGGCAAACAGCCTCGGGAGGCGCCCGTTGCCTTACTTGGAAGTTGGGGTCGGGGTTTTGGCGGTGGCTCCACGGCCCGCGAGGGTGCTCCTGGTAGGCGAAGGGACCGCTGAAGGCCCGCTGGATCGCCGTCAGGTTAAACGCACACACTGCGGACACCTCGATGCTGCTCCTGTACGGCCGCGGGCAAAGCGGGAGGGGGCAGAGATCGAAAGTGACCTTTTACGAAAAAAGTCACTTGCGCATTGAGAGCGCCATTTTGTGGAGAGTCAATAATGGTGGTTGTCATATGGAGAGAATGAACGGAGCCATAGGAATGTGGAATGTCCATCACTGGCTTCAAGTCACCAATGACGATGAGTTTCACCCCATGCATGTTCAAGCACGGTGACACTACGGCCTAACATCTTACAAACATCTCCTCTGGATGACGACGACGACGACGATGATGATGATGATGTGGGTTCTCTCTACACCCTGCAGGTCGCGGGCGTTATTTAACAATACTTCACCAAACCTGGTCATCAGCCGCAGATGCGAGAACACGGCAGCAGGGTAACAAAAATGTAATTTGCTACACTGCAAACTTACGACGATGCGGGGGGTTGAGGGGGAGTGGGGGCAGGAGGGGGGGGGGTGGGGGCAGTCGCTGGCTCACACTCGCGTGGAGAGAACGGCGTAGACGAGGTCTTGCTCGGGCAGGTAAAACGTTGAGCGCAGGTGCTCGTACGTTGTTGCCACGCCGCCGCCGCCGCCGCCGCCGCCGCCGCCCGCCTCCCCCGGCGAGCTGCAGTCAAGCCGTGCCTTGCTGAACGTCGTCCACGTGCCCTCGAGGAGGTAGCGGCCACCCTGGTCGTTCTTGCACACGCGGGCGACCCGCGACACCACGCCACCGCCCGCTCCGCCGATGCCGCCGCCAGCGCCGTTGGGGCACTCGGTCGCCTCTCCCACGGCACGCTCGCGGAAGAAGAAGTAGGCGAAGTGGCCGATGTCGTAGACCGACACGAAGCTGGGATCTGCTCGTCGCGGTTTTGATTTGGGTTCCGGAGAGATGCGCGCGCGCGACGGCAGCAGTTGGGGTTATACGGCACGGGTCTAGCGGCCTCCCGCAGGGAGATGCCGATTCGTTTCATTGGATCAGAATCAGACTGTCTATCGGAATCTTTATTTCGACTGTGGGAGGAATTCGATGAGCTATGAAGCTCTTTTTTTCCCAGATTGTCAGTAGGGGCGGGTTAGAAACTTACGTATAATGGATACCTATTACAGACGTGATTTTGCTATTTATACTTTTCAGATATGGGATTTTTATGCCAAATTTTTTAATCGATTTCCTCTTATTCTATTTTTGTGTTTAAATGTATTCCTCTTAATAACTTGCGCTGTTTATGCACCCTATATTTAACTATTAATTAAAACGGTAAAAATTCAAAACGGTTATCATTTACAACAGCGATAATTGAATTGTAATCTTAAAAAATAAGTTTTTGTCAGCAAAATAACGATTTGGTACACAAGCATTTTCATGGTTTTTTTCTTTCACAATTTCGGCAAAACGCAGCACCACGCGTCGTCAAAACAACATCACGTGATGGCACTTTTTTTCAGCAGAAGCAAAGGAAGTGATGTCATGCAAGTGATGTTGTTTCCCATGAAGTCACGAATTAAACCGACAGTTAGGAACACATCCCAGTAAATGCACCTAACGCGTAAACCCAGCCCTGAATGAGGGGCTGCGAGTTCCGCATGGATCGCCGCTCGAGCCTCCCAGAACTGTGAGAGAGAGCTTCATGGCTCATGGGGTTCCACTAGGATTCTCGTTCTGATAGCGTTATCATTCTGATAGCGTTATGGTTCTGATAGCGTTATCATTCTGATAGCGTTATCGTTCTGATAGCGTTATCACTCTGATAGCGTTATCATTCTGATAGCGTTATCGTTCTGATAGCGTTATCATTCTGATAGCGTTATCGTTCTGATAGCGTTATCATTATGATAGCATTATCGTTCTGATAGCGTTATCGTTCTGATAGCGTTATCGTTATGATAGCGTTATCGTTCTGATAGCGTTATCGTTCTGATCAGCACGGTTGGCTATGTATACGGTGCGAAGGAAGTTTAACATACACGCACACGTTAGCTCTGTGTCAAGATCAAGGTCGTGCTCTGCGGCCAATATCTCCGGCAGCGGGGCTGTGTCCGCAACGTGCCGCGCCGCGCCGCACGATGCGAGCGGTACCGTGGAGCCAGCGCGAGTTGTACTGCGCCGTGCGGAGGGGGGGCAGGCCCCCCAGACTACGGTAGATGGCCGGGTCGCGCCCAGAGAAGTCCATGACGGTGGCGGCGTAGAGCTCCCCGCGCGGCGTTAGCAGCGCCGCCGAGTGGTGGCGCGGGTCGTAGGGGCAGCGCGCCACCCCGCTCACACGCTCGTGCGTCACCGACAGGTCCTCCGCCTGCAAAGGGAGTTCATAGGTTTTTATTTTGACACTTGAGTAAAAACCCATCGGGGTCCATGATATAAGTGTTTTTTGGGTCAGATCGCGTAGGTGTAAAGGTGTCGCTAAACCCGTCCACCACCCGACACGGCCAATTGGTAAGGTTTTGGCGCGTAAATAAAACGTGCCAATTCGTTACTAGTACAGCACATCGGTGGTGTGTTGGAGAGTAAACCCACAGCATTTACAATTCGAGTACTGTAACGTTTCGTACTCGAAGCCTTTCGAGTATGACTCGTTGGGGTGATAAATGCTCATTATCGATGGGGACCTGTTTACACCTTAGAAGCTTGGTTACAACAAGAACAACAACAACAACAAAAACAACAAAGAAATGCGAAGAAAACAATTTAAAAAAAACTGTACACATGGTCAAGTTCTGAATGGCAAAGTCGTGGCATCAAAATGGTACATCCAGAGCATGTTACATATGCCTCTCTTATCCGTGTCCATATCACGAGTGCTATTGGTGGATTCTACTGCAGTCACCACACTGGTGTGGGATGATAAATTCGTACATTTTTATGGTTAACTGTGCATAAACATGGACATGTGGATGTCTCTGTCCCTACACAAGAGTGATCACACAGGTGTCCTGGCAAAAGAGGAAATTAATTTTAACTGAATGCCACTGGAATTAAAGTCTTTCATCTAAAAGTTTTCAATCTAAATTGAAAACTAATTTCTTTAGAACTGCTTTTTGTATTTAGTTTGTTGTTATTCTCCCGCATGGTCCGATGAGCACGGTCGGCTACGTACGGCGGAGCGAAAGAAGTTCAACACACAACAGCAACGACCGCCGTTCGCCACTAAGTGGCGGTGACGTCGCCACGGCGCTTGTGCCAGGCCAGGTGCACGTTAAGGCCACGTGAAGTGTCGAATGCCCGCTGGCAGGAGGTCATGGGACAGACCCAGGTTCCATGGGTCGACTGACTGGCATGACTGGCCGAAGCAACACACATGCACACACACGGTCACCGATTCCGTTATAATTTTTTTGTTCCAGAGTCGAGGCGCCACCAACGTGGCCCCCTCCGCTTGTCTCACCTGCCTGCGAGCGCACACGGGGCTGAAGGCGTTTGTGCCACAAGCGAAGACGTGCTTGCCCCGAACGAGCAGCACCTTCGGGTAGTTCTGACACTCGTCCTGGGAGAGGGTGGATGGAGGTTCAGAGGACGACACGCTCGGAGAATAAAATAATAAATTAATAAAATCCAGACAGTCTCGTCCCTTCACCTGATGAAGGCCACTTGTGTTGTGGCCGAAACGTGAGAATTTTATTGTGTTATTTTATTTTATTAATTTACTATTTTATTCTCATTCTATATGACTTTACCGAAAGAACCAAAGAAGATGAATCCTTGCAGTCACGAAAGCTTTAAATCGAAATTTAACGCTCGGAGAACTCGGAGGAACGTCGTTTCACGCGTTGCACACGGCAGACGTTGCATCGGACGGTGCATCGGTTAATACCGATTCGTAAACTCGCCGCACACGCATTGAATCGGGCGTGTAAAGATCCACGTTTTTTTTATTGTTGTTACTTCATTCGTACGTACGTTGCTTTGTGGACACACCACAGTTTATCGATCGGCAGATTGCGGGGAGATGCGGTAAAGTGAGGGTACTCCCACCTCTTCGAAGATGTCTGGCCAGCGTGAAAGAGTAGGCCAACTACCTGCCCTCTAGAGGGGTTCTCAAGGGTTCCCACAAGTGGAGGATCGTGCACCATCACGAAATTGCAATGCTGCACCGTTACCTCTACAACCTGTGTACGTACTGTTTATAAGTCCACTGAACCATTGAAGCCAACAGTGGTATTCACTACAATGTAAACAAATATACTCGATTACTCAATTGAATCATGAGCCTGAATTGATAGTGGATAGCGGTTTGTGTTTACTGTATTCGACAAGACCTGTGAAATTTCACATTCTACCCACTCCAAAGAGTGCCGCATTGTAGGAAGTCGACCGTGGTTTTCATACGGAGATACTGGCCCCCACCACGGAAATGTGGACTTTCCACCACCTGGTACAGAGATATGAATAGAGATGATAGAAATCCCAGTTCTGACCCCTCAGAATGATAGAATTAGCAAAATGGCACAATAAGAATAAGTGGGAATTGGGACTCCCAAGATATCCAGCGACATGAATGACACAGGAAAATGCGTGTGTTCTCACCACGGAGCGGCCCTTGCTAATGCATGCCCTGATCGTCGACTCGTCCGATCGCCACTCCACGGACTGTGAACAAAAGTACAAGGGCACGCATAAGCACACAGGCCAGGGACATCGGAATCAAGATCCCGAGTAGTTTCAGCATTTGGACGATCAGGGCTGATCAAGTCGGCAAATGACGCGATAATAATTAATTGTGACGGAATAATAGTGCACGCTGGAAACAAAAAAAACATCCACATTTGGGCACATGGGACCGAATTTATGTTGACGGGCACCCAGGACTCCAATTATCACGGTTGGCTATGTACGGTTCAGCAACTGCTGATGGTTTTGGCATAATGCACAGAGGCTGCTATACATTTCCACATGATGAGCTACTTTGTTGAGTTATCATTTGTGGGCAGGTCGCTTTTGAAAAATATCTATATAGCTCAGTGGGCCTTACCTGGTAAAAATAAAAATAAAAATTGTACATTTTTCTTCGTGATTTGTTTACCTTTCCTACACTTTGCACTCCTATCGTGTTTTTGTGCTGTTTGTTGTTGTTGTAACTTTCTACTGGAGATCTGTGCAAAATAGCTTTAGAGCTCATAGTATTCCTCCAGTATGAATACATATTTGTATTCTAATTCACATAAAAAATACCCAATGCAGGACCCTCCTGGAAGAAATCTGAATGCCTCAGTGTGGCGCTGCTGAATGAATTATTAGCTATTATTACATTATTATAATAAATACGTCTGTGCTGTCAGGCTTGTTCTGTTTGCCTGAAGGCGCTTTAACGTATGATTTTCATATATATTTCATTAATCGTGAACACTTTATTCCTTGACACGCGATCAAATGTCGTGTATACTGAGCGCAAGAATTGATTTTGACGGATGAATCGGTGGAAAGTTGCATGGCTCTCAGATACCAATCACCATTTGTGCTAAATGTGGCCTTGGAATTGAATTTCAGGCGACAGAAGACCATAATGCAGTGCAGTAAAAATCCAGTCTCACTGCCTGCATCATGCGCACAAACAAAGATCCCCCATATAGCCCAAACAGACTGTCGGGGCAAGCGCTGTTCACGAGCAACTATTAAGGCCGGCATGGCGCGTGAGAAGTTGGTGTGGCTACCACCACCTCCCGTCCACCTTTATGTCACCAGTGCTAATGTTTTCACACTGCATCAGAAACTCGTTAAAGTCTGAATCGACCTAGGAGAGGCCCAGGACCAGTTCAAATATAAGTTTCCCATTGATGTAGAATTCAACTCGATCAGGGTTCCCATGACAGCGTGCACACGCAACGGACACACGTGTATGCAGGCGTGCACACAGAACGCACAAAAGGCCGCGAATACACACTCCCTGGGCCGTTCCACTGATTTACACTGCGCTATCAATGAATTCAGCGTACCTGAACCACAGCCAGGCTGCTGAGGTTTAATCGGAAGAGGTGGTTCCTGCAAGAGAATTCGACGGCAGCGGATTACAAGGCATCGCACCCACCCGACAAGAGTGACTCCTCGGCATTGCTCATTCCTTCAATCGCCGTGTGTACTGCGCAAACCTACACGTCGACCTCAATAAACATCACACGCACGCGCAGCCGTTTGCACAGATGCGCACACACGCTCGCACGCTCACAGACTGTTGGTGCGAGACAATCTTGCGGGAAACCGGGAGCTGCCCCCTGACCAATGCCGAGGGCATTCGGCGGCTTCGCTTTACCTGGCTCCGACGAGCAGCTGCGCACGCGGGGGGTAGAGCGACAGCTGTGAGTAGCCCTCAGCTCCTGGGAAGGAGAAACTTGACAGCCAAGGCTCCACGTCTTGGAAGGGGACACACAAGACGGAGCCTTTGATAAGTGTATGCAGGTACGTTGAACTTCTTTCGCACCCTGTACGTAGCCAACCGGTGCTGATCGCAGGTGCGTGGGGAAAGTGCAACAAAACTTAACACAGAAGGCAGTTGTAAGGAAATGAGTTGTCAATCAAGATTTTTAAAGGGCATCGCTCCCAGTGGCTTCCTAGTATGGGAAGGAAGAGCGTTCCAGACAGCCCCAGAAGCGCATCTGAAAGCACGCAATGCAGTGACCATCTTTGTTTGATGACCAGTAAAAAAACAACTAACAATTATTAATAATAACTTACTCTTTTGAACCACCTTTCACTCGGAGATCACGAGGTGCTCTCCAAAAAAATCCAAAGTGGTATTGGTGGACACCCATTATAGAAGGACACACCGGTCGCTGAGAACAAGGTCAGAGGCCTAAAACGGTATGTGAGCAACAACACGCAGCACACGTGTACGTATCTATGGGACATTTTTGCCCAGTATCAAAATGGTGATTACTCTAAATAAGAATAGGCTTTAGCCTTTCTGGCAATAAAACAGGAGGTGTTAAGGTGTTCAAACACCAAACAGATGCCTATTGCAAGGCATCAGGTCTGCATTGACCTCACACACTTGTGGTGGCAAAAGACATGCAAACGAACACGCCCTGACAATTGCCTTGGAATCCGATTGGCCTACAGGTGCACACGCACACAGTGAGCGAGCGTGTAAGCGTGTGGGCCGTCACCTTCGTACTGCGTGAGCGGGGGCTCGACACGTCGGCACCGCCCATCTTCCTTCCGCGATAAAGCCACCCCATGAGTCCGAGCAGGCACCCCGGACAACACTCCCAGTAGCAGCAGCAGCAAGATCAGAGGGCAACACGGGAGAGTCCTTGACCTGTGCATGACGTCGCTTGCGAACTCGATTGTCTTCCGGCTCAATCCGAACGCACGGCGGCTTAACCGCAGCGATTTACCTTCAGGCAAATACCGAGGCGAACCCACCGAGAAAACCCGTCGAAGCGACACCACCTCGATGTCCAGCCTATCGATCGAGCCATTAATGACGAATGTGCGCTAATCGTGCGCCCCGCGGGTCATTCCTGCGCGGCTCGCACGGTGGAGGTGGCGTGCCGCTCGCGAAGGTCGCGTGCCTCCCTCCCCGTCACGTCTTCCGTCTCTCCGCGTGGCCTGCAAGAAGCACGTGTGCACACGTGTGAAGCGCTCTGCAATACTGAGGCGCAGTTAAACATTCAGTCGACGTCGTCATGATTGTCATCAGCATCTTTTGATGAGGTCGCACTCGTTTATATCGTCGCGCTCGTTGCACACAAAGCGCTCGCCACAAGTGAACCACAATGCTTTGCCGACCTTGTCAAGGAGCATAACCCATCACGCAAACTCTCACGGTCATCCTCGCAGCAGCAGCGGCATTTGGCTGACCACCGAACAAAGACGGTCATCGCATCGGGCGCTTTCAGATGCGCTTCTGCAGCCGTCTTGGAATGCTCTTCCTTCCGATATTAGGATGCCACTGGAGCTATGCACTTTTAAACCTCGATTTTTCGACCCCAGAAGGATGATAGGCTGAGTCAACTCGCGACCAGGATTTGAACTCGCTCGATCGATCGGTCGATCAGTCGCTGAGTCACCTTGCCGATGAATTCACTCCATCCCAAATGCAATTCATGCAACGAATCAAAAAGAACGCATGCATGTTTAAACCGTCGGCAAGAGGGAAAAATAATTTAGAAGGGCTCTCACATTTTTTTTATTGTCCTACCAGATGTCCAATAATAATTGAACTTGTAACGCACCGACGCCACCGCCGCACAGCATTCGCTCGCTCTCGGAAGGGAGAGACTGACTGAAGGCAGTCAGGCGGTGAGCTGGCGCCAACCATTTGTCCAAGCTCTGTGGTCCTCTATCCATGAAGAATATTTTCAGCAAATTAACGAGTGCTTACACGTGGGAGGAAACCGGAGCACCTGGGGGAAACCCCACGTACGCACGGGGGAAACAAATCGATCCCATATAGGTGGAACAAATGGGACCTTCTCCTGGCAAGCCAGCACATGGCGCGTTGACGCCTACGAGAAGGGAGTTTCACAACATTTGTGTGTGATTTACCAACAGTGCTGGAGTAGAGGCCACGTGCACAGCCACCACTGCCTGGCTAACAGCAAGTATTTGAACATGAACCTGAATTAAACACCCATCGCATGTTGACCGAGGCTTAGACCCCATTATCTTTATCAGTTGTATGAGTCAACAGCTATACCGCTGAACCGCCAACACCCTGACATAGCGAGTGCCTCTCCTTGTGAAGCATTAAAAAAAATGAACCAGCTGCCATGTCTGACGTTCGTGTGTAACAAACAAAAAACCGTTGCTATATAACGTATATACATCGCCGTTAACATTCATTCGCGTCTGCTTTGGCAATAAATAGCTTGCCGTCACGGCGAGTACGTTTAAATACCCGTGGCAATCCCGTGCGCTCTCGGCAAGGACGAGGAGTGGCACCTGGACCTTGGCCGCGGGTCCCAGTTCACGGCAGCGACTCGGAGCCGCCACCTTTATTGCGCTATCGCCGTTCCAAGAAGCGACGACGTGAACGCCTTGGCGCCAGCTTGTCCGCTGGCCCGTGGCCTTTATTGGGCGCCGGGCGGAGAAGTGGCGGCGGCTCTTCCACCCTGGTCTCGCGCTCACCTCGGTGGGCGAACATGCCAGGCGTGGCGCACCCAGGGGTATGCAGGGGCCACGAGACGGCGGTGCAATGATGGATTATTTTTGTTTGTTTGTTATTTCTTGAAAGGATCACTTGATGCCACAATTAATGACACCCTTTATTTAAATGACACGGAAATTCTGCTTTTCTTGGGGTGCCACGGTGGCGAGATGTTAACTACCTCGCCTGGTATGCAGGAGGTCGTGGGTTCGATCCTGATCCTGACCCTGACGCCTGCTGTATATTTGGAGTTTAAATGTTCTCCCCGTGTTCGCGTGGATTTATCTCTTGGTCCTCTGGTTTTTCCCCCCACATTTAGATTCAACGTGCGTTTAGAGGATTTGGCTGCTGTGAATTTCCACGCGATGAGCCACTTCGTTGAGTTACCATTTGTGATAGACAGGTCGCTTCTGAAAAGAAAATTGCTATGTAGCTCAGCGGGGCGTTACCTGCTAAAATTATAAAAGTTTAGTTTTACCCAGCCGCGTCACGCGATTCGGAACCGTGAGAGAGTGCCACTTTCAACCTCGCGCTGCCGTGGCGAGGATGGAACGGCCAGGGGAGACGGCAGGGCAATAGTTGATTCTCATTTTTGTTTGTCTCTTGAAATGACCATTTGATGCCACAATTAATGACACCCTTCGTTAAATGGCGCAGAGGCCCTGTGTTTACACGGGAGATTGGGGTGGGGATATACTTGCAGGGTCGTACAAGGGGGAAAACAATGTTAGATTGAATGAATAATGGGGCAAGCAACGAGGGTGCTTTAATTCCGTCCCACTTCAAGGCCAACTCACAACCGCAGAGGACACCAATGCAGCCTTAAATAACAGGAATATATAAAACTTTGAGTGTTATCCCCCCATGTGCATTGGATTCCTCCAGTTTTCTTCCATATGCAAAACGCGTATTAAGGGCAATTGGCCGAGCATCCCAACGTAGGATCCTTCTGAAAAAGTTCTGAATATCAGTGAGGCTTTCCTGGGTACTAAACAACAAAATTATTATTATTGATGTTTGTCCAATTATCACAAGAAGTAAATGATGTTTAAAATTTATTTAATCAATAGTCAAGCCATACGGTGTTAGCATACACGAGATTGATTGATTAAAAATCAGGTCAGGGGCCACCCCAATATCTCTGTGTCTCTGCAGAGGACTTGGGGAAGAATTTGGGAACACGCAACAGCTCATCTCCTGGAATGTTGACGTCCTGGCGAAAACGGGGCTCAAGAGGGGAGGGATAAGCTGGGAGACCCTGGGATGCAGGGATATGAGGGTGAAAGTAGAGAGTAAGGAAATAAGTGAACGACTAAGGATATGAATGTGGGGATGAATAAGGGATTTAATAAGGGGAGGCTTTCCTCCAACAGTGGGCAGAAAATGGTTAATGATAATGACGTATATCTGGATGGTAGCAGGAATCAAACCATCAATTCCTGCAAACTTAACTGAACCAACAGACAGGGTGTTAACCACTAGGCTCCCCATCTACTGTTGTCCTTATTGCTGCATTATTACTGTATTATTGCAATATCGGAAGATCGTAGGAGATGATAGTGGCTTTGGGAGGCCTTCGCTCAGCAGTGGCTTGACTATGGCTGTTCATGATGATGATGAACTGCATTGCACGAACAATATCTTGGAAGAATCGTAACCCAGAAATGTCAAAACAATAAACAGAACATGCTCTCGTATATAATTTGGTTTTTTTTTACTTAAATTGTGTCAACTGCAGCTGTGCTGGGGTTTTTGGCAGACGAGCATGGGGTAAACCACAGCTGAAGACATTTCAATCTGAAAGTTTGTGGGAAGACCGTCAAAAAATGTCAATTGCCTGTGATCTCATTTTGGCTCGATCCACGAAGTAGCTTCAATCTCTGCTTCAAACTCTAAGCTGACATCATAGTCTAGCCATAAAGAAGAAGATAACTAGACGTTGCCTGTTGTGTCAATATAGTTGTTAAACTATGACCCAATTGTATCGACACAAGACAAAATGTGTGAACCTCCACCACATGTGAAATGTATGCCAATTAATGGCATTTTCTGGCCTATTAGAATGTGTCACACATCAGCACTCGGGCATTAAACTCTGGTTTACATTCATACAGGCAACATAAAGCCATCGATAGCGCAGTGGTTTGTGCACTGTGATACAAACCCAGCATCCAGCATTTCATTCGTGGCCATAACATACATCATTGGGTCTCACGGTGGCGAGAAATTAACTACCTTGCCTGGTATACAGGAGGTTGTGGGTTCCATCCCGACCCTGACACCTGTATATTTGAAGTTTGTATATTTGAAGTTTGCATATTCTCCCCGTGGCCACGTAAATTTTCCACATTATAAACCACTTCACTGAGCTGTCATATGTGGCCAGATCGCTTCTGGAAAAAGAGCGATATAGCTATTTGAGCCTTGGTAAAAAAAAAAAAATTGTTTAGAGTGATATCTGAACCGGTCCTAGGCCTCCCCCCTTCTCTAACTGCACACTGCCCAGCGTGGTGATGTATATGGTGAAACAACCTCCCATGATTCATATGGTGTGGGAAGGCATTCATTCAGCAGTGGGTTGATAAAGGGCTATAAACGAATTGCTAGTAAGAACCCTTAGAGTGTGATTGATGCAACGCACAATGTTTCTTTTGATTGGGTTTATGGCATAAATGAGAGAGCCAGCAATGGGACAAATCGCCAAGGTGGTGTGTTATGGCAATTTGGGCTGTACATTATTATTGTTGTTGTTGTTTGCATATTATTGTCGAAAGGACTGTACGGCTGACGAGGTGATTGCTTTACTGACATAGATACATGGTTAAGCTGAGTGATGAGCTGGCTGATCGACTGCCCAAAATGACAAACATATCCATGAGGCACAATGTTAGGGAAACTCCTAACGTCAGCCTGAGAATTTGGCACCGACGTGAGACTCATTGAACCCCTGAAACCCATCGCTCAAACCCAGCCCTCGTCACACAGGCACCCATCCCCGACGACTCGACTTCAATCAGTCAAACGTGCCTCTGTTTAACCAAGTGAGGGCCCATCCAGCATCGTTAATTTGCAAGAGCAAAACGGATAAGTGATTGTGCGTCCAAAATATGATACATGCGGTACAACGTCACATGGACGTCCATCACATATATATGCGCGCAAATTAATGTATCGCCCACTAATCCAGTTCCGCATTTGTCCACTGTGCACCCGTACTTTTGTTCTATAGATGTTCGCAAAAATGTTTTTTTTCCGATGAAAAAAGATATAAGAATAGGCGTCACCCTTTATGGCAATAAAAACAGGTGTTAAGATGTTCAAACACCAAATAGATTCCTTTTACAAAGCATCAAAGTCTGCAAGAGCCACACACACTTGTGGCAAAACGTACAAACACGCTCTGATAATTATATACACATGAACTCGTCAGAAGGTAATCGTATGATTAATCGCACGTACA